AAGTGTACGTGTATTTTCTATTGTTATTTGCAGATGATTTGCGTCATCCAATGTAGGTTCCGATACAGAAACATTCCATACGTCTTTTATGTACGTAACGACACCACCATTTTTATTTATTCGATTTGTACCCTGAATTTGTGGTATGACTGCTACTTCATTCAAAAAACACTCAGAATAATAGCGTCAAATTCTACATCAAGTCTCGAGAGAACCAATAAGAAGTGATTAAAATTGCGATGTATGCTTCTTATGTTACAGCCTAGTAATGTAAAGTTAGAATAAGACTGTAATGTGTTTGCACAGAGTTCCAGATCAGGAATTGAGTGACATGTTATAGTAAATGTTTTACTAATATCCTCTTCTACCTCTATGGTGGCCGCTTGGGCCATAAATTGTAAAAAGGGGATATATAAATATTATTACTTCCATGTATAAAGTCACTCGTGATAAAAGATGTAAGTAAACAGTAATATCTGTTAATGGTAAGGTTAGCCCGAGAAAGAATAACCTGTTTATTGTGAAACGATTTTTGCATTTGTTTGTCCTGTTCAGTTTTCTTGTAACAAAGTATTAAAAGTGTAATATTGAAGATAGATGTTTGTATTGATGCAGTAGTTCATGAATGCTATAGTGTATGAGAGTATGTGTTAAATTTGTGTATTTATGTATGTTAAAAGGTACACTAATTAATCTACAATTACATGATAAATACCATACTAAGTAAATATTATACAATTTATAAGATTGAGATGTATACATTATTATAAGCGAGCTGTTATTGTGAATTAAAAACATACAGTAAAAATAAAAAAAATAGGAAATAAAAAATAACATGAAAAAAGCTAATGCAGCATTTGTTGATTACTGCTACCGACTGCAGCTGTGGCAGCCAATTCCTCAGGACTGAGATGACGCTCCAGATCAGAGACGTTCCGTATGGTGATGGCAGGACTTCCTTCCCGCCTACGAATGTGGATGTAGCCCTGCTTGACCCAACAATACTTATAACCAGCCTCTTTAGCTCGTATTCTTGTTTCTCGAAATAACCACCGGTTATGTTTCGTTAGATGTTCATTGAAATATAGCTTCCTGGAGGGGCCCTGCACTTTGATGTAAGTAGTGGTGAAGTCACGTCTGGTCCTAGATGCTTTAAGGAATTCTTCTCGCTTGTTTTTGCACAGGAAACGTATAATCACTGGGCGTGGGAGCTTATTTTCCGATGCTAGAACCTTCTGCTGTCTTAATCCTGCTCGGATAACGCAGTCGATATCCTCTGTTACCAAATTCACCCCAATTTTGCTGTGCTGGCGGTAACAAGTATTACGTGCTCAAGACTTTCATTTGGGTTTTCGTTGAGTCCTATAATCTCTAGCTCATTTCGAATAGCGGATTGAGCCTGGGCGTTAATCTGTTCCTGGAGAGAGGATATAGTCGCAGTAAGCTCGGCCACCTTTAATGTATATGTTTTAGCCTCTTGAATTGTTTTTTCAGCATTTACCATGCGATTTTCAAGTGATTCTAGTTTTGTAGTACACTGGAGAAGGCAAGCCGATAGATTTTCCATAACTCCCTTAATGCTGTTAGATCCCTCTCGCAATAATCTTATTTCCAAGGTAAGCGAAGCAAGGTTGTAATTTATAGAAGTTACCGAAGGAGCCTGGTTAATCTCAACGTTAGGTGATAAGGTGGCCTTTCGCTTTGTAGGGCGAGCTGTGACGTTATTGTAAAAATCAGTTGGAGATGCACAAATTGGGTTGTTTGAATTATCTAGTTTCGGCTCCTTACATTGACAGCTTGGACAAAGCCAGTTCGTTAAATATTCGTCAGAATAGGAGTTGTACTCCTGTGCTGATACATTAACACATAATATATGATAAGCTGTTTCGCATCTGTGACATTTCATAAGCAAAGATGTGGTAACCATTTTAGCTAAACAAGCGCCACAGTTTACACTCGCCATTATAATAATACTTATAATAAAAACACAAGCGTCAGGTAAGCAATGGAAACAAAGTAGCATAAGAAAATATTTAGTTCACTTGTGCTACAGTGGGTGACTGCGCTAGGCCTATTTAAAATAGTGCGGTTGTGTTTAAGCAAGCGCACTTTTAGCTACACAGCTAACTCAATAAGTTTAATAGTACTATTGAGCATTTTAACTAATTACTGTTATAACACCATTTTAGTGGATTTTTATGAATAAGACTGAAAGACTGAAATTATACAATATCCTCACAAATAAATCTTCTTATCTTTAATTTTTTATCAAAAATAAACCAACTGTGCCTACTTACGTCTCAAATATCATTCTAACTCATCTTTATATTTCTCTAATCTACATTGCTCTTTCCTTCTGTGAAGTTGTCGCTAATAATGATCCTCCAGACCGAATTTCGGCTACGGCGGCCTGCCTCAACGGAGGCTAGCCATCAGCGCAGGACAGGATCATAGTGCCCAAGCGTATGCGCAAGCACAAGTGCAGTCTCTATTCCCTCACTCTCATAGCCCGATGGGACAGTAAACTGACATGACTGGAGAGAGATTAGGCGCAGGAAAACTTGTCACTATCACTACCCGCAAATGGTATGGCTGACTCGAAGTTTTCCTTTTCTACTTGGTATTCTGAACACGATGTCATGTATTCATTAAACTTATCATCTTCAGAATTATTGAGCTTGATCCAATATTGTTTCTTATCTTCCGCTTTTTTAAGAATTTGCTTTCTTGGTTTTGACTTTTTTCTACTATTCGTATTTTTTTCTTTTTACCTTTTCTTTTCACAGCTTATTATTGTTTCAGTTTATATATTTTTACGTTTTTTTTGTAACGTCAACTTCTTCTGACGTACTTGATTTTAACTTTTCTGTATTATTTATATACAATTAAGCTCTTTTGCCACAACTTTTTGTTTCAGTAGTAAATTTTTTCCGTTTTTGATTACTATGTGATTCGTTTGATGTACTTGCATCTTCATGAAATGTATTTGCTTCTCTTTTAGCATTGTTTTGTTTAACATTTGTATCCTTTTTTTTTCGGAACCATTTTTGTCTTTAGTGCTGATTGCGTTATAACATCAGCCCCTGTAAGGATTTTTTGATGTCATTTTTCTTAAGTTTAGAGGCGACGTCTACCTTTACATTAGAATATTATAAGTTTGGAGCAGCCCACGGACACCTTTGATTCATTTGCTGATAGTTTAGAAGGTGATATCTCTGGCTGTAAACATGCCGGTAAATCATTGATTCATCACTTTAAACGACAGATTCTGGTTGTCACCCTTTGAAAGTTTATTCAACGCGCATACGTCCGCTAACTGAGATATTGGTCTAAAGCTATTCGGATTGCCTTTGGGACCAGTTTTGTAAATTGGACTGACAATAGCTAATTTCCACTTGCTAAACTTAAATTAATTATGTGCGTCAACGGCTCTATATAATGTTTTTAATAGTTTTTATTAATAAAGGGGTACAACTATCAAAACCGGGGGCACTATCGTTCTTAAGTGATTCGGTCACTAGAGACTTCGGTTGTATCGGTTGGGAAGAGATAGATTGAACCCTGATGACAAGTTTGATTATTAAATTCAGAGACCAAAGTTTCCTTTGTAATTTGTAAACTATTTAGGATTTTATCAGCTAATTTTTTACCTATTGTGGAGAAGTATTGATTACATAGGTTCAATGAGTCCCGCGGGTCACCTTTAATCTTTCTGAGTTCGCTGGCATCAGTATACTATAATTTAAATACTATAATTTTGCGTATTTCACAAATGTTTTTTATACATTGCCAGAGTTTTTAGGGTTCTTATGATGTTTTTGAAATTCTGCATTTTCATAGTTCGCTTTGACTCTATGTAATAGATCATTGCAGAAATTGCGGTACCGTTTGTACGTTAGTTCTAGAACGAGATCATTCACAAACTCAACAGGGTTCTTTTTTACTCGACTATGTAACCTGTCACGGTGACGCATGCATCTCATTAGGCCAGGAGTTATCCAAGGCCTGAGATTGAACTTTGAGCGACTAATCCTAACCTGACGAGTGTGTAAGCGTATCGCCGTTTCAATCAGGTTATGCATGTTATTCACCGCATCATTAATGTCACTTGCACCGATAATTAACGACCAATCTTTGTTTTTCAAATACGCAAGAACCCCATCAAAATCAGTGATAGATCTTACCCTGCTAATCTTAGTCGCTTTTCAATTAGACAACCTTAAAACTATCATTGTTAATTTGTGATCAGTTAATGCAGAATCACAGACTATACGATTGCTGGTTTTGTAGAATTAGTGAAAATGTGATCCAGACAAGACTTGTTTCCCGTGGAGGCGAACACGCTGTGTCTTTCAGAAGTTCCTTTTCATCAATTTCTGAATTCATGTCGTGATTTTTTTCGAGCTTGAGACTCTCCCAAGCTGATAATGGTACTGACTTAGATTCATTATTTGTTAATACTCTTTCATCCTTGAGACATTCTGCTAAAATTGGGTTTAACTCCCCTATTACTTTATGATTAGGATAGTGGCCCTTTTTCCTGAAAAAATTGGTAAAGTAAGTTTTCCTGAACATCCAAAGGACCTTTTTTGCTATTAGATCATCTACATCAATCTCTTTTTTGGAATTAGATCTTAGTTTTTCAATCCCTTCTAAAGGGTGGAGCACTGGATGTCCATAGTTCTTACTCAAATTGGAGAAGTACAAGGCTAAGGGCCCATAAGTGTCTCGTTGGTTCGATACTCCCATGCATGTCATGAGATCTAATATCTCTCTTACATCATATTTACTGAACTTATGTAACAATTCCTCTTCAATAGAGTCTCGGAGGTTGCGAAATCCTAAATCTTCCATTTCGTCCGCAACAATTACACCAATGCAATAAGCATCCCAGTTCTTCATGATTTCAAAGAAACTATTTTTGTATTTACCTCTAAGTCTAATGATTACCTTGTGGAGTTTGTTATAGTGGTTTATTAGGCCGGGAATGTTTTCAATCTTTTCTTTCATAGCAATATGGAGTCTAACATAGAATCTGGTTTGGAGATTGTCTAGTACACACATAAGTAACGTTGTAGGGTAAAGATAACTCTTCCCATTCTTGGTAAGAATTGTTAGTTCTTTCTCAACTATCAGATTGTCGGATAGAATGTGAAACTCTCCTAGAGTGTGTTCTACATTGGTTAGGAGACTCTTAATATGTTCCACTCGTGTCTTGACTCTGTACAAGTCTTGGACTGTACTTTCCTGGAGAATAGCTCCGAAGTTGTCCAGTTCTTCTGATACATCCATCTCGGTTCCGTAATAGCTTTCATGATGTATTCTTGTGTTCCAAATCGATGCCTCGTATATAATCCTCAAACTATAATCCGGCTCTTCTTGGGGAACTTTAAATTTACATGTTGAGATGACTTCTTCCATCAGAGACCAATAGCAGCCGTCATACTCAAAATAAGGAACTAGGCTTTTAAATTGAGAATTGAAAAAGTCCTTGAGTCTTTTGTGTCGTAAACAAAAGAATTTGTCGTGATTAAGTATGAATCTGACTTCATCGTCTGTTATTGGTGAGTTGAGATGTCCCTCAAAATGACAAGTTGGGTGTCCCATGGTATGTCCTTTGTCCAATGTGGGTTTGGATATAGCTGGAATCAAACCATGGCTAGCCATTAAACACAGATAATTAGATCGATGAGAGTCTAATTCGTCAGATAACAGGTTTATATTAATGTCACCAGCTACAATAATAGGAATAGGAACTTTAGTGTTAGAATGAATTGTAGAATCAAGTGATTGTATAAAACGGTCCGGATTATTGAACGAAGGAGATAGATAAATCCCAAGAAGTGTACGTGTATTTTCTATTGTTATTTGCAGATGATTTGCGTCATCCAATGTAGGTTCCGATACAGAAACATTCCATACGTCTTTTATGTACGTAACGACACCACCATTTTTATTTATTCGATTTGTACCCTGAATTTGTGGTATGACTGCTACTTCATTCAAAAAACACTCAGAATAATAGCGTCAAATTCTACATCAAGTCTCGAGAGAACCAATAAGAAGTGATTAAAATTGCGATGTATGCTTCTTATGTTACAGCCTAGTAATGTAAAGTTAGAATAAGACTGTAATGTGTTTGCACAGAGTTCCAGATCAGGAATTGAGTGACATGTTATAGTAAATGTTTTACTAATATCCTCTTCTACCTCTATGGTGGCCGCTTGGGCCATAAATTGTAAAAAGGGGATATATAAATATTATTACTTCCATGTATAAAGTCACTCGTGATAAAAGATGTAAGTAAACAGTAATATCTGTTAATGGTAAGGTTAGCCCGAGAAAGAATAACCTGTTTATTGTGAAACGATTTTTGCATTTGTTTGTCCTGTTCAGTTTTCTTGTAACAAAGTATTAAAAGTGTAATATTGAAGATAGATGTTTGTATTGATGCAGTAGTTCATGAATGCTATAGTGTATGAGAGTATGTGTTAAATTTGTGTATTTATGTATGTTAAAAGGTACACTAATTAATCTACAATTACATGATAAATACCATACTAAGTAAATATTATACAATTTATAAGATTGAGATGTATACATTATTATAAGCGAGCTGTTATTGTGAATTAAAAACATACAGTAAAAATAAAAAAAATAGGAAATAAAAAATAACATGAAAAAAGCTAATGCAGCATTTGTTGATTACTGCTACCGACTGCAGCTGTGGCAGCCAATTCCTCAGGACTGAGATGACGCTCCAGATCAGAGACGTTCCGTATGGTGATGGCAGGACTTCCTTCCCGCCTACGAATGTGGATGTAGCCCTGCTTGACCCAACAATACTTATAACCAGCCTCTTTAGCTCGTATTCTTGTTTCTCGAAATAACCACCGGTTATGTTTCGTTAGATGTTCATTGAAATATAGCTTCCTGGAGGGGCCCTGCACTTTGATGTAAGTAGTGGTGAAGTCACGTCTGGTCCTAGATGCTTTAAGGAATTCTTCTCGCTTGTTTTTGCACAGGAAACGTATAATCACTGGGCGTGGGAGCTTATTTTCCGATGCTAGAACCTTCTGCTGTCTTAATCCTGCTCGGATAACGCAGTCGATATCCTCTGTTACCAAATTCACCCCAATTTTGCTGTGCTGGCGGTAACAAGTATTACGTGCTCAAGACTTTCATTTGGGTTTTCGTTGAGTCCTATAATCTCTAGCTCATTTCGAATAGCGGATTGAGCCTGGGCGTTAATCTGTTCCTGGAGAGAGGATATAGTCGCAGTAAGCTCGGCCACCTTTAATGTATATGTTTTAGCCTCTTGAATTGTTTTTTCAGCATTTACCATGCGATTTTCAAGTGATTCTAGTTTTGTAGTACACTGGAGAAGGCAAGCCGATAGATTTTCCATAACTCCCTTAATGCTGTTAGATCCCTCTCGCAATAATCTTATTTCCAAGGTAAGCGAAGCAAGGTTGTAATTTATAGAAGTTACCGAAGGAGCCTGGTTAATCTCAACGTTAGGTGATAAGGTGGCCTTTCGCTTTGTAGGGCGAGCTGTGACGTTATTGTAAAAATCAGTTGGAGATGCACAAATTGGGTTGTTTGAATTATCTAGTTTCGGCTCCTTACATTGACAGCTTGGACAAAGCCAGTTCGTTAAATATTCGTCAGAATAGGAGTTGTACTCCTGTGCTGATACATTAACACATAATATATGATAAGCTGTTTCGCATCTGTGACATTTCATAAGCAAAGATGTGGTAACCATTTTAGCTAAACAAGCGCCACAGTTTACACTCGCCATTATAATAATACTTATAATAAAAACACAAGCGTCAGGTGGAAGCAATGGAAACAAAGTAGCATAAGAAAATATTTAGTTCACTTGTGCTACAGTGGGTGACTGCGCTAGGCCTATTTAAAATAGTGCGGTTGTGTTTAAGCAAGCGCACTTTTAGCTACACAGCTAACTCAATAAGTTTAATAGTACTATTGAGCATTTTAACTAATTACTGTTATAACACCATTTTAGTGGATTTTTATGAATAAGACTGAAAGACTGAAATTATACAATATCCTCACAAATAAATCTTCTTATCTTTAATTTTTTATCAAAAATAAACCAACTGTGCCTACTTACGTCTCAAATATCATTCTAACTCATCTTTATATTTCTCTAATCTACATTGCTCTTTCCTTCTGTGAAGTTGTCGCTAATAATGATCCTCCAGACCGAATTTCGGCTACGGCGGCCTGCCTCAACGGAGGCTAGCCATCAGCGCAGGACAGGATCATAGTGCCCAAGCGTATGCGCAAGCACAAGTGCAGTCTCTATTCCCTCACTCTCATAGCCCGATGGGACAGTAAACTGACATGACTGGAGAGAGATTAGGCGCAGGAAAACTTGTCACTATCACTACCCGCAAATGGTATGGCTGACTCGAAGTTTTCCTTTTCTACTTGGTATTCTGAACACGATGTCATGTATTCATTAAACTTATCATCTTCAGAATTATTGAGCTTGATCCAATATTGTTTCTTATCTTCCGCTTTTTTAAGAATTTGCTTTCTTGGTTTTGACTTTTTTCTACTATTCGTATTCTTTTTACCTTTTCTTTTCACAGCTTATTATTGTTTCAGTTTATATATTTTTACGTTTTTTTTGTAACGTCAACTTCTTCTGACGTACTTGATTTTAACTTTTCTGTATTATTTATATACAATTAAGCTCTTTTGCCACAACTTTTTGTTTCAGTAGTAAATTTTTTCCGTTTTTGATTACTATGTGATTCGTTTGATGTACTTGCATCTTCATGAAATGTATTTGCTTCTCTTTTAGCATTGTTTTGTTTAACATTTGTATCCTTTTTTTTCGGAACCATTTTTGTCTTTAGTGCTGATTGCGTTATAACATCAGCCCCTGTAAGGATTTTTTGATGTCATTTTTCTTAAGTTTAGAGGCGACATCTACCTTTACATTAGAATATTATAAGTTTGGAGCAGCCCACGGACACCTTTGATTCATTTGCTGATAGTTTAGAAGGTGATATCTCTGGCTGTAAACATGCCGGTAAATCATTGATTCATCACTTTAAACGACAGATTCTGGTTGTCACCCTTTGAAAGTTTATTCAACGCGCATACGTCCGCTAACTGAGATATTGGTCTAAAGCTATTCGGATTGCCTTTGGGACCAGTTTTGTAAATTGGACTGACAATAGCTAATTTCCACTTGCTAAACTTAAATTAATTATGTGCGTCAACGGCTCTATATAATGTTTTTAATAGTTTTTATTAATAAAGGGGTACAACTATCAAAACCGGGGGCACTATCGTTCTTAAGTGATTCGATCACTAGAGACTTCGGTTGTATCGGTTGGGAAGAGATAGATTGAACCCTGATGACAAGTTTGATTATTAAATTCAGAGGCCAAAGTTTCCTCTGTAATTTGTAAACTATTGAGGATTTTATCAGCTAATTTTTTACCTATTGTGGAGAAGTATTGATTACATAGGTTCAATGAGTCTCGCGGGTCACCTTTAATCTTTCTGAGTTCGCTGGCATCAGTATACTATAATTTAAATACTATAATTTTGCGTATTTCACAAATGTTTTTTATACATTGCCAGAGTTTTTAGGGTTCTTATGATGTTTTTGAAATTCTGCATTTTCATAGTTCGCTTTGACTCTATGTAATAGATCATTGCAGAAATTGCGGTACCGTTTGTACGTTAGTTCTAGAACGAGATCATTCACAAACTCAACAGGGTTCTTTTTTACTCGACTATGTAACCTGTCACGGTGACGCATGCATCTCATTAGGCCAGGAGTTATCCAAGGCCTGAGATTGAACTTTGAGCGACTAATCCTAACCTGACGAGTGTGTAAGCGTATCGCCGTTTCAATCAGGTTATGCATGTTATTCACCGCATCATTAATGTCACTTGCACCGATAATTAACGACCAATCTTTGTTTTTCAAATACGCAAGAACCCCATCAAAATCAGTGATAGATCTTACCCTGCTAATCTTAGTCGCTTTTCAATTAGACAACCTTAAAACTATCATTGTTAATTTGTGATCAGTTAATGCAGAATCACAGACTATACGATTGCTGGTTTTGTAGAATTAGTGAAAATGTGATCCAGACAAGACTTGTTTCCCGTGGAGGCGAACACGCTGTGTCTTTCAGAAGTTCCTTTTCATCAATTTCTGAATTCATGTCGTGATTTTTTTCGAGCTTGAGACTCTCCCAAGCTGATAATGGTACTGACTTAGATTCATTATTTGTTAATACTCTTTCATCCTTGAGACATTCTGCTAAAATTGGGTTTAACTCCCCTATTACTTTATGATTAGGATAGTGGCCCTTTTTCCTGAAAAAATTGGTAAAGTAAGTTTTCCTGAACATCCAAAGGACCTTTTTTTGCTATTAGATCATCTACATCAATCTCTTTTTTTGGAATTAGATCTTAGTTTTTCAATCCCTTCTAAAGGGTGGAGCACTGGATGTCCATAGTTCTTACTCAAATTGGAGAAGTACAAGGCTAAGGGCCCATAAGTGTCTCGTTGGTTCGATACTCCCATGCATGTCATGAGATCTAATATCTCTCTTACATCATATTTACTGAACTTATGTAACAATTCCTCTTCAATAGAGTCTCGGAGGTTGCGAAATCCTAAATCTTCCATTTCGTCCGCAACAATTACACCAATGCAATAAGCATCCCAGTTCTTCATGATTTCAAAGAAACTATTTTTGTATTTACCTCTAAGTCTAATGATTACCTTGTGGAGTTTGTTATAGTGGTTTATTAGGCCGGGAATGTTTTCAATCTTTTCTTTCATAGCAATATGGAGTCTAACATAGAATCTGGTTTGGAGATTGTCTAGTACACACATAAGTAACGTTGTAGGGTAAAGATAACTCTTCCCATTCTTGGTAAGAATTGTTAGTTCTTTCTCAACTATCAGATTGTCGGATAGAATGTGAAACTCTCCTAGAGTGTGTTCTACATTGGTTAGGAGACTCTTAATATGTTCCACTCGTGTCTTGACTCTGTACAAGTCTTGGACTGTACTTTCCTGGAGAATAGCTCCGAAGTTGTCCAGTTCTTCTGATACATCCATCTCGGTTCCGTAATAGCTTTCATGATGTATTCTTGTGTTCCAAATCGATGCCTCGTATATAATCCTCAAACTATAATCCGGCTCTTCTTGGGGAACTTTAAATTTACATGTTGAGATGACTTCTTCCATCAGAGACCAATAGCAGCCGTCATACTCAAAATAAGGAACTAGGCTTTTAAATTGAGAATTGAAAAAGTCCTTGAGTCTTTTGTGTCGTAAACAAAAGAATTTGTCGTGATTAAGTATGAATCTGACTTCATCGTCTGTTATTGGTGAGTTGAGATGTCCCTCAAAATGACAAGTTGGGTGTCCCATGGTATGTCCTTTGTCCAATGTGGGTTTGGATATAGCTGGAATCAAACCATGGCTAGCCATTAAACACAGATAATTAGATCGATGAGAGTCTAATTCGTCAGATAACAGGTTTATATTAATGTCACCAGCTACAATAATAGGAATAGGAACTTTAGTGTTAGAATGAATTGTAGAATCAAGTGATTGTATAAAACGGTCCGGATTATTGAACGAAGGAGATAGATAAATCCCAAGAAGTGTACGTGTATTTTCTATTGTTATTTGCAGATGATTTGCGTCATCCAATGTAGGTTCCGATACAGAAACATTCCATACGTCTTTTATGTACGTAACGACACCACCATTTTTATTTATTCGATTTGTACCCTGAATTTGTGGTATGACTGCTACTTCATTCAAAAAACACTCAGAATAATAGCGTCAAATTCTACATCAAGTCTCGAGAGAACCAATAAGAAGTGATTAAAATTGCGATGTATGCTTCTTATGTTACAGCCTAGTAATGTAAAGTTAGAATAAGACTGTAATGTGTTTGCACAGAGTTCCAGATCAGGAATTGAGTGACATGTTATAGTAAATGTTTTACTAATATCCTCTTCTACCTCTATGGTGGCCGCTTGGGCCATAAATTGTAAAAAGGGGATATATAAATATTATTACTTCCATGTATAAAGTCACTCGTGATAAAAGATGTAAGTAAACAGTAATATCTGTTAATGGTAAGGTTAGCCCGAGAAAGAATAACCTGTTTATTGTGAAACGATTTTTGCATTTGTTTGTCCTGTTCAGTTTTCTTGTAACAAAGTATTAAAAGTGTAATATTGAAGATAGATGTTTGTATTGATGCAGTAGTTCATGAATGCTATAGTGTATGAGAGTATGTGTTAAATTTGTGTATTTATGTATGTTAAAAGGTACACTAATTAATCTACAATTACATGATAAATACCATACTAAGTAAATATTATACAATTTATAAGATTGAGATGTATACATTATTATAAGCGAGCTGTTATTGTGAATTAAAAACATACAGTAAAAATAAAAAAATAGGAAATAAAAAATAACATGAAAAAAGCTAATGCAGCATTTGTTGATTACTGCTACCGACTGCAGCTGTGGCAGCCAATTCCTCAGGACTGAGATGACGCTCCAGATCAGAGACGTTCCGTATGGTGATGGCAGGACTTCCTTCCCGCCTACGAATGTGGATGTAGCCCTGCTTGACCCAACAATACTTATAACCAGCCTCTTTAGCTCGTATTCTTGTTTCTCGAAATAACCACCGGTTATGTTTCGTTAGATGTTCATTGAAATATAGCTTCCTGGAGGGGCCCTGCACTTTGATGTAAGTAGTGGTGAAGTCACGTCTGGTCCTAGATGCTTTAAGGAATTCTTCTCGCTTGTTTTTGCACAGGAAACGTATAATCACTGGGCGTGGGAGCTTATTTTCCGATGCTAGAACCTTCTGCTGTCTTAATCCTGCTCGGATAACGCAGTCGATATCCTCTGTTACCAAATTCACCCCAATTTTGCTGTGCTGGCGGTAACAAGTATTACGTGCTCAAGACTTTCATTTGGGTTTTCGTTGAGTCCTATAATCTCTAGCTCATTTCGAATAGCGGATTGAGCCTGGGCGTTAATCTGTTCCTGGAGAGAGGATATAGTCGCAGTAAGCTCGGCCACCTTTAATGTATATGTTTTAGCCTCTTGAATTGTTTTTTCAGCATTTACCATGCGATTTTCAAGTGATTCTAGTTTTGTAGTACACTGGAGAAGGCAAGCCGATAGATTTTCCATAACTCCCTTAATGCTGTTAGATCCCTCTCGCAATAATCTTATTTCCAAGGTAAGCGAAGCAAGGTTGTAATTTATAGAAGTTACCGAAGGAGCCTGGTTAATCTCAACGTTAGGTGATAAGGTGGCCTTTCGCTTTGTAGGGCGAGCTGTGACGTTATTGTAAAAATCAGTTGGAGATGCACAAATTGGGTTGTTTGAATTATCTAGTTTCGGCTCCTTACATTGACAGCTTGGACAAAGCCAGTTCGTTAAATATTCGTCAGAATAGGAGTTGTACTCCTGTGCTGATACATTAACACATAATATATGATAAGCTGTTTCGCATCTGTGACATTTCATAAGCAAAGATGTGGTAACCATTTTAGCTAAACAAGCGCCACAGTTTACACTCGCCATTATAATAATACTTATAATAAAAACACAAGCGTCAGGTAAGCAATGGAAACAAAGTAGCATAAGAAAATATTTAGTTCACTTGTGCTACAGTGGGTGACTGCGCTAGGCCTATTTAAAATAGTGCGGTTGTGTTTAAGCAAGCGCACTTTTAGCTACACAGCTAACTCAATAAGTTTAATAGTACTATTGAGCATTTTAACTAATTACTGTTATAACACCATTTTAGTGGATTTTTATGAATAAGACTGAAAGACTGAAATTATACAATATCCTCACAAATAAATCTTCTTATCTTTAATTTTTTATCAAAAATAAACCAACTGTGCCTACTTACGTCTCAAATATCATTCTAACTCATCTTTATATTTCTCTAATCTACATTGCTCTTTCCTTCTGTGAAGTTGTCGCTAATAATGATCCTCCAGACCGAATTTCGGCTACGGCGGCCTGCCTCAACGGAGGCTAGCCATCAGCGCAGGACAGGATCATAGTGCCCAAGCGTATGCGCAAGCACAAGTGCAGTCTCTATTCCCTCACTCTCATAGCCCGATGGGACAGTAAACTGACATGACTGGAGAGAGATTAGGCGCAGGAAAACTTGTCACTATCACTACCCGCAAATGGTATGGCTGACTCGAAGTTTTCCTTTTCTACTTGGTATTCTGAACACGATGTCATGTATTCATTAAACTTATCATCTTCAGAATTATTGAGCTTGATCCAATATTGTTTCTTATCTTCCGCTTTTTTAAGAATTTGCTTTCTTGGTTTTGACTTTTTTCTACTATTCGTATTCTTTTTACCTTTTCTTTTCACAGCTTATTATTGTTTCAGTTTATATATTTTTACGTTTTTTTTGTAACGTCAACTTCTTCTGACGTACTTGATTTTAACTTTTCTGTATTATTTATATACAATTAAGCTCTTTTGCCACAACTTTTTGTTTCAGTAGTAAATTTTTTCCGTTTTTGATTACTATGTGATTCGTTTGATGTACTTGCATCTTCATGAAATGTATTTGCTTCTCTTTTAGCATTGTTTTGTTTAACATTTGTATCCTTTTTTTTTCGGAACCATTTTTGTCTTTAGTGCTGATTGCGTTATAACATCAGCCCCTGTAAGGATTTTTTGATGTCATTTTTCTTAAGTTTAGAGGCGACATCTACCTTTACATTAGAATATTATAAGTTTGGAGCAGCCCACGGACACCTTTGATTCATTTGCTGATAGTTTAGAAGGTGATATCTCTGGCTGTAAACATGCCGGTAAATCATTGATTCATCACTTTAAACGACAGATTCTGGTTGTCACCCTTTGAAAGTTTATTCAACGCGCATACGTCCGCTAACTGAGATATTGGTCTAAAGCTATTCGGATTGCCTTTGGGACCAGTTTTGTAAATTGGACTGACAATAGCTAATTTCCACTTGCTAAACTTAAATTAATTATGTGCGTCAACGGCTCTATATAATGTTTTTAATAGTTTTTATTAATAAAGGGGTACAACTATCAAAACCGGGGGCACTATCGTTCTTAAGTGATTCGATCACTAGAGACTTCGGTTGTATCGGTTGGGAAGAGATAGATTGAACCCTGATGACAAGTTTGATTATTAAATTCAGAGGCCAAAGTTTCCTCTGTAATTTGTAAACTATTGAGGATTTTATCAGCTAATTTTTTTACCTATTGTGGAGAAGTATTGATTACATAGGTTCAATGGGTCTCGCGGGTCACTTTTAATCTTTCTGAGTTCGCTGGCATCAGTATACTATAATTTAAATACTATAATTTTGCGTATTTCACAAATGTTTTTTATACATTGCCAGAGTTTTTAGGGTTCTTATGATGTTTTTGAAATTCTGCATTTTCATAGTTCGCTTTGACTCTATGTAATAGATCATTGCAGAAATTGCGGTACCGTTTGTACGTTAGTTCTAGAACGAGATCATTCACAAACTCAACAGGGTTCTTTTTTACTCGACTATGTAACCTGTCACGGTGACGCATGCATCTCATTAGGCCAGGAGTTATCCAAGGCCTGAGATTGAACTTTGAGCGACTAATCCTAACCTGACGAGTGTGTAAGCGTATCGCCGTTTCAATCAGGTTATGCATGTTATTCACCGCATCATTAATGTCACTTGCACCGATAATTAACGACCAATCTTTGTTTTTCAAATACGCAAGAACCCCATCAAAATCAGTGATAGATCTTACCCTGCTAATCTTAGTCGCTTTTCAATTAGACAACCTTAAAACTATCATTGTTAATTTGTGATCAGTTAATGCAGAATCACAGACTATACGATTGCTGGTTTTGTAGAATTAGTGAAAATGTGATCCAGACAAGACTTGTTTCCCGTGGAGGCGAACACGCTGTGTCTTTCAGAAGTTCCTTTTCATCAATTTCTGAATTCATGTCGTGATTTTTTCGAGCTTGAGACTCTCCCAAGCTGATAATGGTACTGACTTAGATTCATTATTTGTTAATACTCTTTCATCCTTGAGACATTCTGCTAAAATTGGGTTTAACTCCCCTATTACTTTATGATTAGGATAGTGGCCCTTTTTCCTGAAAAAATTGGTAAAGTAAGTTTTCTGAACATCCAAAGGACCTTTTTTGCTATTAGATCATCTACATCAATCTCTTTTTTGGAATTAGATCTTAGTTTTTCAATCCCTTCTAAAGGGTGGAGCACTGGATGTCCATAGTTCTTACTCAAATTGGAGAAGTACAAGGCTAAGGGCCCATAAGTGTCTCG